ATCTTCCCTTTTTAGTTCTTTATTCTTTGGCATATTTATTTTCTAAAAATTGGACATTTTATTTAGGTAGAGTTATAATTGATTTTAAGTATTATTCCAACTTGCTATTTCCTCCCGTTTCGACCATAGGCAATTATTAGTTTATATTACTTACATATAGAAAAAATATTACTTATCTTACTTTATCCATATATAAATATTTTAGCATTTTTATCATGCTAAAATCTAACTTTCTTTATTGCAACTTTAGGAACGAGGAGGGGAGGGAAAACTCCCCCCATTTATCAACTAACTCGACTTTATTTTCGCTTATTCTTTTTCAACAGGAAGTAGCCAATGATTCCTGCCGAAGCCAGAATTACTGAACCACCAACTACATAAGGAAGCGAACCATTTCCAACTTTATTATCTTCGGTTGCGGAAACATTATTAAACTCTTTCATTAATGCTTGCGATTTATTAACTTGCTCTTGAACCTCAGCCACGGAAAGATTTTCTCCTTCTTTAATCAACTTTTCATTTTGGACTATTTGTTGTTCTAACTTTTCACTATCCTTATTACTTGAATTATTCTTTAACTTTTTCAACTCGGCTAAAACTTGGGCTAATTGATTTTTAACTTCTGATAATTCTTGGCGGAGTTGTTGATTTTCTTTTCGTAAATCAGAATGGTTGTTATTATTTTTATCTCAATCACCTTCCCAAGTTTGCGGTAGATATTCAACTTTTCCATGAGGGTCGCTTTTGTATTTTTCGGCACAATCATGGCTACAATAAACTTCTCTAACAACTCTGTCTAAACTAGGAACACCATAGTATTCTTTGGCTTTATCAAATCTTCGACCACACTGGCAAGTTTCTCAATGTTGTGGTCGGGAAACATTGCTGTTCTTTTGATTTTTCAAAGTTCTAATTGTATTTTCACCATCCTTAATATCTTTTCTAAATCTTTCAATTTCCCAATTTATCTTTTCATTTTTTGGCTGGCTTTCTAAATAATTTAACTTTTGCTTTCATTCACTAATCTTTGTTTCCAAATCTTTTATTCTTTGTTCGTCGCTTCAACCGATATCATTACCACCAAAAACATCAAGCCAACCACCAAAGTTTGGTTCTATTTGTTTCGGTTCCGAATTTCCGTTTAAATTACCTTTTCCGCGGTAGGTTCAACCAAGCGTTCATTTGTTAGGTGTATTTTCTCGGTAATGCTCGTCTCATTTTATTCCATCCATCAAGTTCTTAAATTCACCATCTCCAAGAACATCCGTTCCTCGATTTCCTTGATAATTTTCACCAAACTGCCAATTTTGACGGCTATAACTGTAATCCTTTCCTTGCTCAAAATGACCCCGATAAGTATAATCTTTGCCATCGTAGGCTTCTTGGGTTATTCGCACTGGCACTCGGTCATTTCTAAACACGCTTCTTAATTTATCATTATGGAAATTATAAGTTTTTATGTTCGGTTCATCAGTCGGAGAAACGGAATAATCTTTGCCTTCTTTAAAATCTTTTAGTTTATTTTCTACTTCATTTTTATTAAATATATTGTTAAATCCGTTCATATTTGTATTGTATTTTGTTTATATTTTACTTTGCTTATACTAGCAGAGAGAGAGAGAGAGAGAGAGAGAGACGAACCTTTCAACATACCACCATAAGCACTTAATCAATCATCCGTTTTTCGTTCACGTCGTCGCTATCACTCCCTTTCTACACTACTTATATTTATTTTAAAATTTTTTGCTATCATTAAGCCAGATAACTCAGCATCCAGTATTAGCAGACTAGATAACTGCTGCACTTTTTTAAAAAACAGTCGACTTCTGTTTACCAGTTCTTTTACTTAATATTCTAATGGTGGAACTGGTTGAGAAATCCAAAGGAATACCAAATTTTCAATCTTGATAAACCTAATTAGAATACTACTTTGCCCTGTTTTACTTCCGGTAAAGTTTAAAGTGTGAAGTCATTTTTTGCTTTCTTTAAGGACCTAGGAATTAAAGTCAGAAGGATAAATAAGAACCCTTAACTATCAGCTTTTTTTAATATCTTTGTCATCAATTATATTTTATATAAGTTTTACTTATGATTGGTTAACTTTATCTCTTTTTGTTTTTACTTTTTTCCTAACAGGACACAGACCAACAGCGATTTTACTCTTTTAATTTTCCCCCTTAAGAAGTATTTTTTTGTAAGAATTGTAATCTCTAATAGAATTAGCTTTCAAAACTAAACGGAACCTTTTTATAAAATTTTTTTTCCATCCGCAGATTCCCCTACGGATACCTTGTTACGACTTAACCCCAATTGCCAATCCTACCCTTGTCAGCCGCATCCCTTGCGGGTTAACTAACTGGTTTCAGGCATTACCGACTTTCGTGATTTGACGGGCGGTGTGTACAAGACTCGAGAACGTATTCACCGCAACATGGCTGATTTGCGATTACTAGCAATTCCAACTTCATGGAGGCGAGTTGCAGCCTCCAATCCGAACTAAGGTTAATTTTTTGGCTTGGCTCCCCCTCGCGGGTTGGCATCCCTTTGTGTTAACCATTGTAGCACGTGTGTCGCCCAAGGCATAAGGGCCATGACGACCAGACGTCATCCTTTCCTTCCTCCTGATTACTCAGGCAGTCGACTTAGAGTCCCCAACTGAATGCTGGCAACTAAGTCCAAGGGTTGCGTTCGTTATAGGACTTAACCATACACCTCACGGCACGAACTGACGACGGCCATGCAGCACCTGTGTTCGGATAACCTCTGCTCAGTTTCCTGAGTTTTGCCGAACATGTCAAGCCTTGGTAAGGTTCTACGCGTTGTATCGGATTAAACCACATGCTCCAGTGCTTGTGCGAGTCCCCGTCAATTCCTTTGAGTTTCACTCTTGCGAGCGTACTACCCAGGCGGAGTGCTTACCGAGTTATCTAGCGACACTGAGAATCAAGTTCCCAATATCTAGCACTCATCGTTTAGGGCGTGGACTACACGGGTATCTAATCCGTTTTGCTCCCCACGCTTTCGTGCCTCAATGTCAGTAACAGAATAGTTAACTGCCTTCGCCGTTATTGGTGTTCTTCCATATATCTACACATTTTACCGCTCCACATGGAGTTCCGTTAACCTCTCCTGCACTCGAGCCTGACAGTATTACCAGCTTCCACGAGGTTGAGCCTCGATTTCCCACTGCTAACTTATCAGGCCATCTACGCACCCTTTACGCCCAATAATTCCGGATAACGTTCGCCACCTACGTCTTACCGCGACTGCTGGCACGTAGTTAGTCGTGGCTTTCTCTGTGCGTACCGTCAAAACTGAACTTGCGTTCAGCCCTTCTTCCGCACTAACAGAAGTTTACAATCCGTAGACCTTCCTCCTTCACGTAGTATTGCGCGGTCAGGGTTACCCCCATTGCCGACAATTCCTCACTGCTGCCTCCCGTAGGAGTAGGGACCGTGTCTCAGTTCCCTTGTGGCCAATCAGCCTCTCAGCCTGGCTACGCATCATGGTCTTGGTAGGCCATTACCCCACCAACTAACTAATACGACTTATCCCTCTCAATTAGCGAGAATCTTGCGATTCCCTTTCATTATCGAAATAACAAATGCGGTATTAGCCATGGTTTCCCATGGTTATCCCCCACTAATTGGCAAGTTAGATAAGCATTACTCACCCGTTCGCCGCTAAAAGCAATATTGCTACTACTTTCCGCTCGACTTGCATGTGTTAGGCATACTACCAACGTTAATCCTGAGCTAGGATCAAACTCTTAAAAAATTGAACTGCGAGAATTCACTCACAGGTAAATTGGTTCCGTCTAGTTTTCAAAGATATTCAAAAAAATTGTTTTTTTATTAGGAGAACAAGTAACCCACATAAATTTTACTATTATAATATTATTTTAACTCTTTTTTTAATTTCTCGTAAATGTCGGGACTGTTCTTTTTTAAATATTGGAAAAATCTTTTTTCCTTGGCTATTTTTTTTAATAAGGCTCGTTTGGCTGGGATATCTTTTTTATTCTTTCCTAAATGAAGTTTTTCTTTGTTAATTTCTTCTCTTAAAGCTATCAGCTGGAGAGAAGTTGACCCCGTATCTTTTCCGTGAAGTTGATAATTTTTTTTCGTTATCATTCTATATATTAATTTTATTTACTTTTATTCTTTTTGCTTACACTCTTGGTCACTAAGAAAATAAAAAAAGCAACTATTATAATAGGTAAACAAATGAGGGCAATTTTTCCTCAATCAGTTTTATTTTCTGCTTTGGTTGGATTATTATTTTGCCTTTTGGTTGGCTTTTCTGGTTTTTTCTTTGATTCATAAAAATAATTTTCGCTGTCCCAAAAACCAATTTTTTTAACTGTATTTTCAAAATAGTCCTTAGTTTTTAAAACCATTCAATTCTTATTATTAGTATTAAATTTTGCTACTTTTTCTCCTCCTAAATTGATAATAAACTTGTATTCTGTTATTTTTCCGTATGGGCTACCAAAATCAATTCCTGCTCCTTTTACTAGGTCATCGAGTATCCAAATTCAACAAGCCCCCCGCATTTTATCTTTGGTAAAATGGAGACATTGATCTGGTATATTTTTGGGTTCAACTAAAAATCCGCGATACTTCTTTGGTTCTTGGTCATTGAAAAATTTCATTTTCTTTTTTCTTGAATAATCACATTGAACTTCAAACTCAGACATAAATTAAAAATGGCGCCTAGTGTAGGAATCGAACCTACGACCAACCGGTTAACAGCCGGACGCTCTGCCGCTGAGCTAACTAGGCTTTTTTTGCTAAAAAGTAAAATTTTACGGTCAGCGCATTTATTTTCTTTTTACACGAGGGAGAAAATTACCCGCAAATCATTATCACCAGCCCGATAATTTAATTTAGTAATCCTACTATAACCTCCTGTCCTATCTTTATATCTTCCTTTTAAGTCAGAAAATAGTTTATCAAGCAATTTTTTCCCCTCTTTATCCTCCAATTTTTTTTTGCTGACTAAATATTGTAATGCTAAACGTCGAGAATGTAAAGTGTCTTGTTTAGCATATTTAATAAGTTTGGCTAATAACTTAGTCAGACTCCGTGCCATTGGCAAACTAGTCTCCACTTTTTCATACAAAATAGTATCCGCCACCAAATTATTAAGGACATGAGTGCGTCAGGCAGTGGTTTTACCAGGTTTATTAATATAAGACATAATAATTATTTAGTTTCAGCAATCAATTTTTGTTTTTTTTCACTATTAATCAATTCAGTGATGGCATTAAAAGAACTCTTTGATAGTTCTAAAGTTTCTTGGAGGGCCTTTTTTGGTGCAACAGCACCATTAGTAGTAATAGTGAGCGTTAATTCTTCTTCTGTCTTTTCTTGACTAATTACTTGTGAATTTACTTTGAAGTTTACTAATCCGCCTTTAATTGGAGAATAATCAGTATCAAAAGCAATAACATCTTCTTCCTCAGAAAAGTATTTTTTTTCTTGTTCCTCCTCTTCGTGATAACCTCAACTTTTCTGAAAATAAAGTTTTATTTCTAGCCTGGAATTTTCTTTCTCACCAGTAGAGGCAGCCAAAGTAGCCAAATAAAGATCAGGATTTTTAATTTCTATATCTTTATCTTTTTGAAAATCGCCTGCTGTAATTACTTTTTCTTTTTTTTCTTTATTCTCAACACTCAATTCTAAGCAAAAAATTCCTTCTTTTATTTTCTTTTCTTCCACAATAATCTTTTTTAGATTAATAATGAGATAACTGGTTACTTCTTTCACTCCCACGAGGGTACTAAATTCACTTTCCACTGGACCATTCCTATCACTAATTTTTGCTCCCAAAGACGCTATCCCGCCATTGTATTTCAGAAGAAAATGACGCAAATAATTACCGAGAGTTATCCCCATACCCGAAGGCAGGTGGTGAAAAACAAAAGAAGAAGTATGAGGTTTATTTTTGACAACTATTTCTTCTATTTCTAAATTATTAAGTAATGACATATATATTTATTTTCGTGGTGCTCTTCGGGGACGACAGCCACCATGACGATTTGGAGTCCTGTCAGTCAATCCTTCCACATTCAAAGATTTTTGCTCTAATATTTTTTTTATTACTGAATCTCGACCAGCCCCAATTCCCTTGACTTGTATTTCTACATTGTAAACTCCAAACTCGGCGGCTCTTCTAATTATTTCTTCGGTGGCTTTTTCAGCCATAAAGGCCGTAGCCTTCTTAGTGCCAGTAACTTTTTTATTATTACCAAGGTCGACACTTCCCGCACTAACTGTAGTTAAAACATCACCATTTTCCTTGCTTAAATCAAGAATAGTGTTATTAAAACTAAACTTACCGTGAATAATTCCTCTTCCCTCAGTAACTTTTTTAATTTTTTTGGTTTTAGTTTCTTTTTTGGAACTTTTTTTTACTGCCGTCATTCTATATTATTAAATTTTAATTAGTTTAATATTCTTGGTACTTATTTTTTTTTTGCAAACAATAATGCTCCTATAACCACTGCTGCCAAAATAATCACTGCTATTGCTGTTTTGGCAAAGAAAGGAAACTTATTTTCTCTTTCTGATTGGGACGGACTTGACGGAGTTTGAGAAGCAGATTTTTGCCTAGCAACTTCTTTAATTAATTTGTCTTTGAACTCATTTATCTCCTCCTCGCTGGATAACTTTTCTAACCGCTTTTCTCAATCGTGGTATTTGGTAGACAAATCACTAGTTTTTAAGTTGTTTTTTGTTAATTCAGTTTGGATTTGGTTTTTAACGGCGGTTTGCCTTAATTTTTTAGCCAAGTGGGAAGAATTATCATTTTTTTCCTTTCCTGGTTCCTCTTTTGGTTCAGGTTGATGAGATGGGAAAAAACGAAATTCGTCATGATTAGCGACGGTTTGGGCTAGTTGTTGAAAAGTTATTTTTCCCTGCTCAGCGTTACCGCTAATTTTGACTTCTTTAGTTTGGGGACGATTTTCTTTCGTGTAATGATTAGTGGCGGTCATAAAAACTTCGGCTAATTCATTAGGACTATATTTATTTTCAATTTTTTTGACTTCCTCTCTAAACTCTGTCATAAATTTTTCTCAACGACCTTCCAAAGCTTCATTGATGGCAAATAAATAGTGTTTTAACTTTTCAGGGAAATCGTTAGTAGCCTTAATTCCAGTGGCATCTATTCATTTGTGATATTCGTCTTGGATTTTTTTTCGGAAATCGGCTGATTTTCCCCTACTTGACCCAATAACAAGAGGAAAATCAGTCAAAACTAAATCTTCAAATCCAGCCAATGTATCATTGCTGTCAGCAATCGTTCGGCGGTAAATTTGTCTTTGACTATTCCAATTTTTGTAATGGTCTAACTTGCCAATATATTCCTCCAACGCTTCTAAGAAATTGTGAAAAGTGTCTAGCACTATTTCTAACTCATTGTTATTCATAATTTATAATATTTTTTATTTTAATGTCTCTTTCGTTTATTATTATAATTAAATTTTAATTGTTTATTTCTTCCTTTTTAATTAATATTCATTAATGACTTTCTTTAGTTGGAAAATAACCATCGACCAATTTACAAGAAAAAAAGTAAGTTCATAACTATCTCAACTAACATTTCTAAATGAAGTTAATTAACAAAAGACCAATGATAAATCAAAAAAGGAATTTGTCAAAATTCCTTTCATGAGATTATTTTGGAGTAGGAGCCTTTTTCTTGTTGGCGACCGTTATTCGTTTATGACCTTTGGCAGTGCGGGCATTGTGACGCGTTCTTTGACCGTGAATTGGCAAAGGATTAGGTTTGCGGGAACGCCTTAATCCTTGATAAGTACCAAGTCGGATTTGGGCACTAATATTTTTTTGAACTTTTTCTTTTAACTCCCCTTCAGTAGAGATTTTTTTTACTCTCTGGCTAAGTTGATTAATTTGCTCGGAAGTTAAGTCACGAACTTTAGTGAAAGGGCTAATGCTTAATTCTTCGAGGATTTGCCGCGAGGGAGAAGTTGGACCAAATTTTTTGCCCAATCCATAAATATAACTCAAAGCCACCCGAACATTTTTATTTTCAGGCATCTCTTTATTACCAATTCGAACCATATATATTACTAATTTTAATAAGTTTTAACCTTGCCTCTGGTTGTGTTTTCGATCTTTTTGACAGTAAACATAACGGACCCTTTCTCTAATAATTACCTGGCAATCACGGCACATTATTTTAATCGAACTGCGAACTTTCATAATAATATCTATTTTAAATATTTTCTTCGATCAAAGAAACAATTTGTCCTTTCCCTAGGTCTCCCAAAGTTATCTCTACTTTTACCCTATCCCCAACAACAATGTTGGCTCTTCTTCGTCCTTCTTTAGTGCGAAAACGAGCCGGAATTTCCGCGTCAATTACTTTTCCGTTATCACATTTAACCCGAAATTTTTTTTTATTTATTCATTCGATTACTTCACCCTGAGTGGAAAAAAAATCTTTATTCTTCTTCATAATTAGTTAATATTTCTGCTCCTGTTTTGCTGATATATACTGTGTGTTCAAAATGAGCGTTCAAATAGCCATTTTTGGAAAATACGGTCCATTTATTGGGGGAAACTTCTACTTCAGCATCACCAATCTGAACTAATGGTTCAATACAAATAAACATTCCTTCTTTAATAACTTCTCCTTTATTAGAAATTTTATAATTAGGAATAAAGGGTTCTTGGTGAAGATTTTCCCCAATTCCATGTCCGCCATATTCTTTAATGGGGTAATAACCACGAGTGCGTATGTATTTTTCTAACATTGCCCCAATATCCTGAGTGGTAGTAATGCCAGGTTGAATATTTTGAATCACAAAGTATAAACTATTTTTAGTTATATTTAGTAGACTTCTTTTTTCTTCATTCCCTTCTCCAACGATAGTAGTCAAAGCAGCATCAGCATGATAACCTTGGTAATTACAAGCCACATCAATCGAAACTAAATCACCTTCCTTGAAAATCCGCTCGTCAGGAATGCCGTGTGTTAATTCTTCATTAAGAGAAACGCAAATGGCGGCTGAAAACCCTTTGTAATCAAGGCTGGATGATTGAACTTTTTGTTCTTTCATTAATTGTCGGGCCAATTTATCTAAATCTTTTCCTGAAACACCAGGCTTGATTTCTTTTTTTAGTCTTTTTAGAATATTACTTACGGCTTGCCCAGCCTTTTTTATACATTCAAGTTTATTCATTACAAACTCTCGATTAGTTTTAATAAGTTTTTTTGGATTTCACCATTAAAAATTTCCTCCTTTTTTTGAACCGTTAATTGAATGATAGAGGAAGTGGCAAGTTTTTTTTCAGAAAGAAACTTTTTAATTATTGTTTCAGTATTTTTTAAATAATATTCAATAACATATTCACTATATTTTTTTATATCAGCAAGCGAAAACTGATATTCACTATCTTGTGGACAAATGAACTTCTCATTTTCCTTCATTGTCTCGTCTTTTTTGTATATTTTTTCACAGAGCGGACAAATTAAATATTCCTCTTTTAAACTTAAAATTAACTCATAATTAGAAATATTAAGAAGAATGATATTATTTATTTTTTTTCCTTCACGGGCTAATTCCGAATTCAAAGCAGTAAATTGCTGCTCGTTATGGGGATAATTAACCAAGACTAATTTAGAATGGGAGTTATGCTGAATAAACTCTTTAACTTCTTGGAGGTAATTAACATCAACTAATTGAAGTATTTTTTCTCCCTCTAAGGAGGTTATATTTTTTTTCTTAAGTTCTTTTTTTCTTATTTTTCTGATTTCAAAAAAATGTCCCTTTTCTCCCACCGGAAAATCAAACTTATTAATAATGAGGGGGAACAACAATAAAATGACCTTTTGTGAATTATTTTTTACTTCCATATAAAATGTTTACTTCTATCTATTAGTTTTTATGTATTTATACTTCGTTCTGATTTGGCGAACCAAGTCAACCCCGATATTAACGCTACCAAATCAATTAAAAAAGGATAAAAATGGAGTCCAGGCCTTAAATATATTATCAAAAATGATATTGAAAACTAGGATAATAAAATATCAAAAAAATATTATCTTGTTGATGACCTTTTTTAATAAATTACGGGTGGTTTTACCCGGAGCCAAATAATTTATATAGATTCCTCTGCTTCGTAAATCTTTGCTCATTTCTCCAGTTTTTCAAGGATTAACTTTGCGCATTTGTATTCACACTGCTAATCAGCGAAGGAAAAGCAAGAAAAGGAGAATACCAAGAATTCACCACTTTTTGTTTAAAAACCATTCTTTTAAATTTTCTCAGTCAAAAAGATATCTGGCATCATTAAGCAAAAAAAAAGGTCCTCAAAAAGACCCTCCTTCCATACTATCGCTATTTAAACTTTCCTTAAAATTGTTTGTATTCATCCCCCTTTTTTGGTTTGCTCCTTCCCATTTTTTTCCTATATCACTAAAATCGAATCAATTTGTTCTCGCGTTACGCATTAGGACAATATTGTAAATCAAACCAATCAACTGGGACAACTGAATCAAAGGCATAAAACCCAGACTCAACCGAAACCCCAATTTTGACTTATTTTTTTTTAGTATTTTGCTATTTTGACTATGAAGAGTATTGGTTTCTACTGGTGCTTCTCATTTTAAATTAGTGATTCAAATAAAGAAAATCGTAATCAATAATAGATAAAACATTGGTTCAGGATTATTCCAGTTTTTGGCAATTCAATCGTAGGGAATGAATACTGTAAAAAGTATCAGGTTGAAGGCATTACATATTCCATATTGGTTCATTAGTTGAATAAGCAATTCTAATAAACAACAATTAATTACAGTAATAATTAAACCTAAGAGAAAAATATTTCCTCAACTACTTTTGACATTTTGTCAGTATTTCATGAAACCAACTATTAGTGAACCGAGAAAAATCAGAGTCCGGCTAATTCAAAGTTTTCACTTTTGAAATTTGATCCGATCCATTTTGTCAGGATTTAAAAAAATAAAAAAGAATTGTAAAACAAAATTGACTCCTAAATGGACACTAATACCTGAAAAAAGTAGCTTTGTTGCTTTTACTCCTTCGTCGGCACCTTCAATCCCTTGCATTCACTGATGAGGAAAGGGAATTTTTTTGGCTCCCAAAATGTAAACTAATAAACCAAGCAAACTAGCCAAACAAGAAAAAAAGAAAACCTGGTACTGACGGCTAACTCTTTTTTTTTTGATATTACTTGCCATATTATTTTTTCTTTTTTTCTACTATTTGAAAATTACCGCCAGCCTGGGCAATTTTTCCCTGGGCTGATTGAGAAAAAGCGGCGGCCTTAACGGTTAAATTTTTAGTAAAAGTGCCTCTTCCTAATATCTTAACCAGAAACTTTTTTTGTGACAAATCTACTACTTCTCCCGCCTTTATCTTTTCATCTTTTTCTAATTCTTCTAAATTAACTACTTGATAAGAGATTTTTTTGTCTTTAAACCCTCCTCCTCGTTTGGGAAAAGCACGATACACCGGGGTTTGTCCCCCTTCAAAGCCAGGACGAACATTACCACTTTTTCGAGAACCTTGTCCCTTTTGACCGCGCCCACTCGTTTTTCCTCGACCGGAACCAATGCCCCGACCAACAATTTTTTTTTTCTTTACGATAGCCGTTAAATAATTATTAGTATTCATATTTTTTTCCAGTTAATTTATCCAAGGCTAAAAAGGCAGCATGAATAACATTGAGTTTATTTCGTCGAGAGCCAATTATTTTGGCACTTATATCTTTAATTTCCAAAAATTTGAATAATCTACTAAGGGCTCCGCTAGCTTTGATACCGCTTCCTGGAGGAGTAGGCTTCAGGAAAAGTTTAGTGGCTTTATATTTTACTATTATATCGCGGGGAATAGTGCGAACAGGGGTAGGAAAATAAGTTATTAATTTTCTTTGCCCTTGTCGTAAAGCCTTCCGAAAGGCAATAACAACTTCCTTGCCACCAGCGTGAGCAAAAGCAACAGCGTTTTTTTCTTCGTCTTTTATCAAAACTAGACAAGTGAAACTAAATCTCCGACCGCCTTTAGTTACTTTTACCACCCTTTTGTTGGCTAATGTTTCACTTTTTACATGAGAACGAAGTAATCTTCTACCATCCCTTCATTCTTTTCTAGGTTCACTCGAAGTTAGATTATTTTTTGCTTCTGCCTTTTCTTTTTCGCCATTTACTACACTACTTTCTTTTTCTTCCTGAGAAATACTTTTATCGTTTCCCAGAACCTGATGATTTTCTCCTACCTTCTCCATTAAAAATTAATTCCTAGTTCTCGCATTGCCTGACAAAAAACCTCCATTTTTCCATGATAAGGCCGACCATTGCGGTCAAAAATGATTTTTTCTTTATTTTCTTTCTTTAATTTTTCAGCAAACAATTCTCCAAGTCTTTTGGCATAGACCTTATTCTTGCGAGAGTAATCATTATTTTTCTCATCAAAATCTTCGGTAGAAGCAGAAGTGAGAGTATTACCTACTGTATCGTCAATGGCTTGCACGCGTAAATAGCGATTTGATTCACTCAAAACTACTCGCGGCCTTTCCTGGGACCCCTTAATTAAGGCACTTCTTCTTTTGCGGACTTTCCGGCGCATTTTTTTATTAATAGATGTCGTCATATATATATTATTTATTTAAAGATTTTCCGGCCTTCAGTTTAATGGTTTCTGCTTCACCTAAATAGTAAATACCTTTGTCTTTCTTGTAAATGCTAGGAAGACGAAGGTTCCGAATAGCAGCGGCAAAGCTAGTAGCTTTCTGCTTATCTTTTCCCCTAATGGTTATTTTATTCCCTTCTACCTTTACTTCTAACTCGGCAGGAATAGTAACATAATTAAGGTGAGATTTTCCTAAGGAAAATTGGAATTTTCCTTCTTTTGAGGACACTTTATAGCTTACTCCCTTTACTTCAATAATGCTCTCGTGGCCTTCCACTACCCCTTTTATCAGGTTAGAAATTAAAGCATTGTAAGTGCCAGCCAAAGCAGAATTAACTGACTTAGTGTTTAATTTATTATCTTGATTAATAATTTCCAAATCAGAAGGAATGATTAACTCTTCACTCTTACCTAATGGCCCTTCGGCGGAAATTATTCCCTTTTCTAAATTAATTTTTACTTTTTCTGGTATGTAAATAATTCGATCTGCAATTTTTGACATAATTTAACTAATAAAAAAAATTACTTTCCCGCCTTGTTTTTTTTCCAGGGCTTCGCGGTGAGTTAATAGACCAAGCGGAGTAGAGATAAAATAAAAACCGCGACCACGACAATGTTTTTTAAGGTCTTTAACCCGCAAATGAATATGTTGAGAAGGCTTGGAAATCTTTTTTACTTGATGGATGCGGCTATTTTGATTGTTGTATTTAATGTCCGCCTTAATTTTCCTATTTTTTTCGTCAAGCCAGCACCGGGAAAGAAAATTATGGTTTTCTAACTTTTTACAGATTTGCCATTTAAAAGAGGAGTAAGGAAAAACAACTGTTTTATAACCCCGCAGGTTGGCATTGCGGATACTGGTTAGCATGTTAGCAACTGGATCAGATAATGTCATATTAATAATATTTTACCAAGAACCTTTTCGCCACCCTGGCAATAAACCTTCATAAACCTGCTTACGAAAATCGATGCGACAAAGCAGAGTATCTTTAAAAACTGACCCTGAGCGGCCACAGATTCGGCAACGAGTATATTTTCTACTGGAGTATTTAGGAATTTTATGGGCTTTAATAATCAAGGCTTTGCGTGTCATTATATATTTCTTATTTTAATTGTTATGGATTTCTCTGTCCTTACTCATATATTTCTTCTTCTTTTTCTTTTTTAGCAATTCTTCCTTTTTCCAAAATAATTTTTTTTTCTAACCTTTTTCTTTCTTCTTCCTTTTGTTCGTCGAGGGAAAGGATTACTAAAGATTTTTGTAATTCTTCTCCAGTCTTTTCCAACTCAATATTTAATTCCTCTTTTAATTTTCTTACTCTTTCTAGTTTAGAAAGAGGGTGAGGCTTCCTGGCTAAGCCTAATTTTTGGCCAAGACGGCGAAAGAAACCAACCTCTTCTGGCTTTTCTATTTGGTTGCCCTCTGGTAATAATTCTAATTCTCGCTCTCTTCTTTCTAACCTGTTTATCCTTTCAGTCAAACTGGCCATTCGCCCTTGAATTTCAGTAATCATTTTTTTGTCCTGAGTGATTTTTTCTTTATTTCTTTTTTCTTCGGCTTGGCGAAGTTTTTCTCTATTTTTATACTCCTTACAGTGACTTAATAAGCACTCTTGGGAACAAAAAGCGGCCCCTTCCGGAATTACAATTCCTAAAGTATTTTGCTCTTCTACCTTCAATTTATAAGGAAAGTCAGTTTCATAACTAATATCACAAAAGTAACAATAACCACTTTTGACTGTCTTTTGTCGCAGAGGAGTCACAATCATTATTTTTTTTTCCATCTGCCGTGAGATAGTTTCTTTTTCTTCACGCAATTTTTTCACTAACAAATGGTATTTTTGAATTAGATTGTCTTTCTCCTCGTAAAGAACTACTTCACTTCCTGAAAAACGCACCACTTCTAACCTCTCTAAAACTTCTTCCACCTTTCTAATAACATTTTTGGTGTACTCAGCCATTCCGTTCCACACTTTTTTTTTTTTCTCCGCATTAAGGTTAGTTTTAGCCAACGTGAAAAGGGAAAGATTGACTTTTTTTACTAATTCTTGATAGTCATTTTCAAACTTATTTAATTTTTCCCGAGCCGACTGGATAATTGAATAATTCATAATATTTATAATTTAATTTTATTGAGGAATAGTGAAGCCACCCATCCTATATTATAAAAATTTTATAGTTTATGGGTCATTACAGCAACAGAAAATTACTGATCGGCGATATCCTTATTTTTCTCCACAAAATCCCTATTGGGATTTCAATTAGTTTCTTGTTGGAGATTGCGGAGTATTTTCTCGGTGGCAGGAGTAATTTTTTTTGGTAATTTGACTTGTAATCAAATATAAAGGTTGCCGCGAGCAGTTTTGTTAATTCCTAAGTAGCAACCGCGACCCCGCAAGATTAAATGGTCGCCACTTTGAGTTCCTGCCGACACCGAAATTTTTTCCACTCCCTCCAGAGTGATTACTTCGACACTACTTCCCAAAATCGCGTCCAAAAAAGAAATGGGCAACTTGACATGAATATCATCACCTTTTCGCTGAAAATAAGGATTTTCTTTGACTTTTACGGCGACATAAATGTCTCCTCTTGCTCCACCATATCAGCCATCATTACCTATTCCTTGATAGCGTAGTTTTTTGTCTGGTTGAATACCGCGCGGAATACTAAATTCAATAGTTTCTTTCTGAGTCACGAACTTTTTTCCACCACACTCTCGACATTTTTTTTTAATTATCTTTCCTTCTCCTTGACAACGAGAACAGGTAATTTGAGTGCGGATTGCTCCTAAAACTGTTCTCTGAATAGTATTAACTACTCCTCGACCTTGACAGGTCGGGCATTCTCCAATATCACTGCGCGAGGCTGCTCCTGTTTGCTGACAAGCATTACAAGCCCTTTCTAACTCCAAACTTACTTTTTTTTTGACTCCTAATACTGACTCTTTGAAAGTTAAGGTGATATTGATTAAAATATCATTCGCGGCCTGAGGACGGGTTCTATCTCCAGTATGGGTTCCCCGACTCGCGTAATCATCTCTTCTGCCAAAAAAAGTGTCAAAAATGTCTTTAAAAAAATCTTCCCCCTGGCCAAATCCGCCTTCGGGCGGACCCTGAGCAAAACCTTCGGCAGTGCCGTAACGGTCATAATTCTGACGTTTTTCTGGATTACTTAAAATCTCATAAGCCTGGTTGATTTCTTTCATTTTTTCTTCGGCTTGTTTTCTTTCAGCCTCAGACTTGTCGGCTCAGCGGTCAGGATGATATTTTAAAGTTAATTTTCGTCAGGCCGATTTAATTTCGGCCTCCGAAGCGTCTTTTGATACCCCCAGGATATCGTAATAATTTTTCTTGGTCATGAATGAACTAGGTTAAACTAGTTTTAATTACTTTTTGTCCTTATCATCCTTTTCTGGAGACACGTCCAAAGTGTCTTCTTCCTCGCCAGAAGCACGACCTTCATCTTCTTTCTTCTCTTCTTTTGGCATTTTCTCCATCAACTCGTTTGCCATTTTCATCATTTCTTCCACCTTATTTAATTGCTTTTTGATGAGGGGGTAATCTTTCTTTTCCGTGGCTTCCTTTAATTCCTTATACATTTCTTCAAATTTTTTGAAGCCTTCATCATTCTCATTGAAATCCTTGTGGCCCTTAAACTCTTCAATTTGTTTCTCAAAAGTATGACAATAAGTTTGGGCACGATTGAGTAATTGAGAATTACTTTTGTATTCTTCATCTCTTTCCTTATTTTCTTCGGCTTCTTTGATCATTTGTCGGATTTCCTCCTCACTCAGATTTTGACTGTCTCTAATGGTAATTTCGGCCTCCTTGTTAGCTTTCTTATCCTTGGCGGAAACTTTAACTATTCCGTTAGCATCAATATCAAAACTAACTTCAATTTGAGGCATGCCCCGCGGAGCTGGTTCAATGCCACTTAATTCAAAAAATCCTACTGTTTTATTGTCTGCCGCTCGAGGTCTTTCTCCTTGAAGAACCCGAATGTGAACGCTGGGTTGATTGTCTTCAGCGGTAGAAAAAATTTGGGTTTTCTTGGTAGGGATAGTAGTATTACGTGGAATTATTATTTCGTTATTACCACCTTGTACCTCAATACCTAATGAAAGAGAAGTAACATCCGAAAGCACAATGTCCTTGGCAAATCCGCCTGCCATTACTGCTCCTTGAATAGCAGCTCCAATCGCTACTACCTCATCGGGATTTACTGATTTATTAATTCTTTTTTCTCCGAACTTCTTTTTTATTTCTTCCTCTACCATTGGCATGCGAGTCGAACCACCTACTAAAATTATTTGTGCAATTTCTAAGTCTTTTCCTAACTTTTTCTCCGCATCCTGGATTGCCTTATCAACTTCTTCCATCGTCTTTTTCATATATCCTTTAGTTAATTCAACAAACTTAGCCCGCGTGATTTTTACTTCGACATGGGGTAATCTTCCTTCCTTAGGAGCAATAAGATAAGGAAGAGAAATAGTGGCCTCTAAACTTCCTGATAATTCTTTTTTGGCTCTTTCAGCGGCTTCTTTTAGCCTTTGTCTGATTATTTTTTTATCTTTTTCGGTCTCCCCTTCAGTCAGTAGATCAATTTTTCTTTCCTTTTTCACTTCTTCAATTACATAATCAACTATTTTCTTGTCAAAATCGTCTCCTCCTAAAGTTTTAATCCCGGCCGTGGAAATAGTTTCGAAAATTTCTCCTTCGGCACTTTTAGAGATTTGGAGAATGGAGACATCAAAAGTTCCTCCCCCTAGGTCATAAACCAGTATATTTTGTTCCCTTTCGGTCTTGTCTAATCCATAGGCCAGTGCTGCCGCAGTTGGTTCATTAATAATCCTAATCATTTGGCGGGTCTTTGTCAAGTCCTTAGGGTCGCCAAGTCCTGCAATAATTGCGGCATCGATAGTGGCTTGTCGTTGACTATCACCGAAATAAGCGGGCACGGTAATTACTGCTCGAGTGATTTTTTTGCCCAATTTTTCCTCCGCATAACCCACCAGATAACGCAAGATTTCCGCCGAAATTTGCTCGGGAGTATATTCTTTTCCGCCCAAAACTTTTTTAACTTTTTGTCCCATTTCACTTTTGATTGAGACAATTGTTTCTGGATTTATCTCTATTTGCTTTTTCGCATCATCACCTACTATAATCTTTTTCTCTATCGGATCATAACAAACTACTGAAGGAGTAGTGCGATTTCCTTTCGGATTTTCCAATACTCGGGGGGTTTGACCCTCCATTACTGCTACACAAGAATTAGTGGTTCCTAGATCGATACCTACAATTTGTTTACTTATTTCTTTGCTCATATTATTAATTTTTACTTTCTTTGTTCTGCTTGTCGCTTTTATTTTTTTCTACTTTTTTACTGATTATTACTTTGGCTGGTCGAAGCACTTGATCTGCCAACAAATAGCCTTTTTCTGACACTTCGATAACTGTTCCTTCCGGTAAATTATCATTTTCAACCTCTTCTACTAATTCATGAAGACGGCTACTTCACCTATCCTTTCCTACTTCAATTTTTATCTCTTTAACTCCTTCATTTTCTAAGTTTTTTCACAAGATGTTCCGCATCATTTCAATTCCCAACAAGTGGTTTTTAATTTTGCCTTCGGGGTCAGCCCGCATGGCTTTTAAGGCTTTTTCTTCTAGATCAACAAAAAAATCAAGAACACAACTAACTAGTTTTTTATTACCATATTTATACATTTGTTCCATTTGTCGCCGAAAACTTTTTCTTTCATTTTCTATTTCGGCTGCCAGCCGCAATTTATCATCTTTTAAACTCTTAATTTCTTCTTCAAGTTTGCTTACTTTTTCTGGAATTTCATTTTCTGAACTCTTTTTCTCAGAGGTCTCTTGAACAGGACGTTCTTTAAAATCTACTTTTTGTTTAGTTTCTTTTTGCTTTGCTGATTCTTTTTCGTCTTTTTTACTCATACTTACTATTTAATAAATTTTTTCCTGTTTCCAAGGAACGAAGAGGAGTTATCTTAATTTCCTGAGTACCCTGCTCTAAATTAAGAAGATAATTTCCACCACTTACCAACAACTGCGAAACTACCTGTCGGGCCACCAAGGTGCCAATTTTTTTTTCGATATAATGCTTAATTGGACGAGCACCGTATTCAATCGAATAAGCCTCGTTCAAAATTTTTTCCACCACTTCCTCATTGTATCTCAATTTAATGTTTTTCTCCTGAAAGGTACGCTGAATAAATAATTCTAATTCTTTAATAATAATTTCTCTAATAACTTCTTTGCTTAAAGAATTAAAGAAAACTATTTCATCAAGACGGTTGAGAAATTCAGGACGAAAATGACTTTTTAACTCGAATTCCAAATCTTTCTTTATTTCTTCCATTTTCCTTTTCTCAAAATACAACTCTGAACCTAGATTAGTAGTCAAAACGATAATGGTATTGCGAAAATTTACTTCTCGACCATTGGCCAGGGTGAGGAAACCGTTATCGAGTATCTGGAGAAGGATATTAATAACTTCGGGATGGGATTTTTCAATTTCGTCAAAAAGCACTACGCTATTCATTTTCTCTCGAATAATTTCTAGCCGTGGTCGTTCTTCAAATCCGATATAACCAGGCGGAGAGCCAATTAACTTACTAATTGAGTGCGGTTCAGAAAACTCTGTCATATCGAGACGAATAAGATTTTTTTTTTGGTCAAAAAGTTGCTCGGCAATGGTTAAAGCCACTTCAGTTTTACCTACTCCAGTTGGCCCGACAAACAAAAATGACGCCAAAGGGCGATGTGGGTCCTGAATTCCCGCCCGAGCCCGAAAAATAGCATCACTAACTGCTCGTAGAGCTGCACCCTGACCTTTTACTCTCTGTTGAAGAATAGCCGGAAGAAAAAGAAGTTTTTGCTGCTCATCGGCCAAAACTTTTCCCACGGGTAAATCATACTTCTGAGTAATAGTCAAAGCAACATCTTCTCGGTTTATAAAATATTTTCTCAATACATTATGACTGGCCTCTTCTTCTAATTTTTCAATTTTTTCCTTTCAAAAAGGAATAGCCGAATATCTTAGTTCAGCAGCCTTGGTAAGGTCAATTTCTTTTTGCTGATAAATAATTAATTCTCTTTCCGCGTGGGCTAATTCTTTTTTGGCATGGTTTAACTCCTGAATAATTTTATTTTCTTTCTGGTCTAATTCTAATAATTCCTCCAATTTCTCTCGCTGTTTTTTTATTTCTTGTTGAAGATTAAACACTTCAAACTCATTTGTTTTATCTTTCCCGATTGCGGCTAGATTCATTTCTAATTCTCTTGATTTCCGACGAGTTTTCTCAATTATTTCAGGTTCATATCACCTTTCGCTTCTTACTCGGCCACAGGTCTCGTCTAACAAATCAATTGCCTTATCTGGCAAGTAGGTAGCGGTGAGATAGCGTTGCGAAAAATTAACGGCCGCTAGCAAGGCTTCATCATAAATTTTCAATTCATAATAAATCTCGAAATAATTGCGAATACCATGCAGAATTCTTAAAGTGTCCTCTCGGCTGGGCTCTGGGACTAGGATATTGCTAAAGCGACGCACCAATGCTCCGTCTTTTTCAATGTATTGACGATATTCTTCCCGAGTGGTTGCGCCAATACATTGAATTTCTCCTCGCGAAAGCATTGGTTTTAAGAGGTTAGAGACGTCTAAGGCTCCTTGGCTACGACCAGCCCCCACAATTAAATGGATTTCATCAATAAAGAGAATAGCGTTATTTTCTGGCTGAGCCATGAAGTTAAGAATGACTTTCAACCTCTCCTCTAATTCGCCTTGAAACTTGGTTCCAGCCATTAAGGACATCATGTCAAGTTGGTAAACAATCTTTCCCTTCAAATAATCTGGCACCCGTTCCTGTTTGATTCTCTGGACTAATCCTTCTACTAAGGCGGTTTTTCCGACCCCTGGATGACCAATCAACAAGGGGTTATTTTTCATCATTCGCGACAAAATATAAATTAGTTGTTTAATTTCCCCCTCTCGTCCAATTACCGCTAACTCGTTGACTTTAGCCTTTTTATTGAGATTTTCAGTAAATCGTTCAATAATTTCTCTTTCTTTTTCCTTGCTCATAATTATACTAACAACTACTTTCTTTTTTTTAATCTATGTTTGTTTTATTGCTATTATGTTGTCCGGCGGCAAAAAAACTAGTTAAAATACAAAACTAGAAATAACAACGCCACCGGACTCAATTATGAAAACACTTTTCTTTTAGGGGGAGAAAACAAAATTAAAGAACCCCATATTTATTTTAATGGGGCGAATAGTGAGGATCGAACTCACGAATGCTAGTTCCACAAACTAGTGCGTTAACCATTTCGCCATATTCGCCAAAATGGAGCGAGTAGCGGGAATCGAACCCGCATCCTCAGACTGGCAGTCTAATATTCTGACCGTTGAACTATACTCGCAATTTAATTATTAATAATTTTTAGTCCAAATCATTTTTTAGAAATCTTTTTCGATAAAGGTAGAAAAAAAACGAACCGATTGCCAGGAACAAAGGAATGGAGAGAAATGGGACAATGGTAGAAGATGTGAGAAAATCCTTAAAGGAATAATAAATAACCTGAAAAATAATAATTAAAACAAACAAGATTACTATGAATAATATTGAGTAATCTTCATAAAGAAAGAATAAAGAAGGAGCCAGTGACAAAAAGTTTATCAGAGCAAAAATCACTCCATTGAGTAATAAGAAAGAGACCAGCAAAAGGGCCGAGGCGCCAGCCGCCAGCCACAAGAAAAAAAATAATGGCAAGGTTAAAAGGAAGAAATTAACCGCCCAGAAATAAGTAGCAGCCGCGGCGAACTTGGCTCAGATTACGGTTTCCCGACTAACTCGGGGCGTAAATAGCAGGACGTTGATATCACCCGCCCGATTCTTTTTCATGGTTGCCGCTCCCCAAGAAGTTTCCCGACCAGTTAATCGAATAGCCATTTGGGCAGTAAGTATAAACATAAAGCCGAGTTGACCAAGAGAAATAAGTCAAAGTTGGCGAAATTTTTCCATTCAATTGCCTTCTCTGATAACTAAGCGGAAATTAGAGTCAGAAGTAGTTCTTTCACTAAAAAGGAAAAGCAGGCTCCAGGCCCCAATAATTAATAAATAGAATAGTATTAACCACCACAGTTTCAGTAGTTTCCGACAATAATAGCGGTAAAGTTTAGAAAATACAGTTTTTTGATCTTTTTTGAAGTTAAACATAAATTAAATTTAGCCTAAATCTTCTTCTTGGTATCTTAAATAATAAAGAGTGAAGAAGAAAAGCCCACAAACTAAGGAAATGACGGTAAATCAAATTGGGTCAAAGAAAGTTTTTTCCACCGTGTAGGGTCAGGCAGCCGAACTAAGGAGTTTTAGTCCGCCCCAGAGGAAAGGAAAGAAAACGACTAAAGTTGAGAATATTCATTTTTGACCGGTTAACGAGCCGAAAAAGAGATGAGGAACAAAAATTAGTCCAAAGAATAAAAGTGGTCCAACAATTATAGTTATTAGGGTTAATAAAGCAAACCAGGATAATTGTGGTGCTGAGGCTAATCATCAATAATAAATACTAAACGGAATTAAGAACAAGATAATATTAATGAGAAAATAAAAGGTTAAAAAGGCTAAAATTTTTCCTCAAATCACATCACTTCTCTTCACGCCAGGGGTCATGGTTAAAACAGTGGTTTCTTCCCCATCTCCACGAGGCGAGAAAAAAGTCTTATCAAAAACCTCAAAAATGAACCAATACAAGACTAAGAATCCAGTCAGATTCCACCAAGAAATGTCAAGGAGCAATTTTCAAAAACCCTTCTCTCCCATGTTATTATAGCCCTCCGTTTGGGAACAGAAGAAAGCATTATTGGAATTGAAAGGAAACGACAAAATGCCAAGATAGGTGCTACTATCTACCATTCGCAAACCTCACCTGGCAAGTCTTATTTGTGTTCCAATTTTCTGATGTTTTTTTGTTCATTCTTTTCATTGTTCTTCATCTTCAAGAAGGTTACGAATTTCTTTTCGGTCTATCACTCCTCCTACTTGGTCTTGTAAGAGTTCGCGTGCCACCTCTGAAAAACTTTCTTCTTTCTCTTTTTCTTCCCTTTGTCTTTCAGAAAACTCGCTTCCTCTTTCTCTGATGTTTTTTAGTACTTGAAGCCCAGCTCATGGAATAACAAATCACCATACAATACCAATTAAAATGGTAAAAATGATAATTCTCAATCAATTTTTTTGTCAGATTTTTCCAAAATAGAATTTATATAATTTTCCAACTTGCGACATAACAATATATTTTATAATTCAAATAATCCTTTACCTTTTTCAATAAAGTAATCTTCATAAGTTTTTTCAATATCGGGTGTTTTCGCCCCACTATAAACAATTCTTCCTCTTTTAATCATGGTAATATCATCGGCTAATTTTTGTAGGTCAGAAAGAATGTGGGTCGACATTAAAATGGTTCCGCCTTTGTCACGAATTGTTTTCAAGTTGTTAAATAAGTCCTGGCGAAAACTAGGGTCTAAACCATTAAAAGGCTCATCCAACAAGTATATTCTCGGGCGGTAAAGGCTTAAAGTAAAAACTTGGAGGATTTTTTTTCAACCAGTCGAAAGGGAATGACAGTTTTGGTGGCGAAATTGGGACAAGGGTGAGCCTGCTAACTTTCTCAGCACTTCCCCTTTAGGAATATCCCGTAAATAGCCGCAATCCAATAAGTAATCCTCAACACTAAGGCTAGGAAATTTCGGTTCAGCCGGAATAAAACCTAGTCGTTGATTAAAACTAGGGTCACGGTTAACTGATTTGCTATCAACATAAGCCTCACCATGAGTTGGTAAGACTAAACGAGTTAAAATACTGAGAGTAGTGGTTTTGCCCGCTCCATTGGGACCAATAAATCCATGAATAGTTCCTTTACGGACGGAAAAGGAAACATTATTTAAAACGGTTTTGTTGCCGTATCTTTTGCTAACGTGTTTGACTTCGATTACTTTTTCTGTCATACTGATTTCATTATTATATTATTTTATATGTTATCGTTGAATTGTCTACCTAAACTGTTCGCTCAAACAAAATATTATTAATATATATCTTATTTCGGAATGTCCAACTCCTCCACTATATTTACTAAATCGGTTCTCAAAACAAAAAAAAAAAGCAAAATAAAACTACTTTTTCGAGTATTAAGGAGAGTTATCAAAAATAACCCCAAAATGTTTCTCTTTTGTGGTTTGTTGGCAATAATTACGGCCATCATTAACTATAATATTGGTCTTAACTTGCGAGAAGCTTTTGTGAAAGGAGTCTCAGAAAATGAAAATGTTTTTAACGCCGAGATTTTTAAATTCCAGTTTAATTTTTTGGGGTGAATATTAAGAAAAGAAAATTTAGGTATTTGGAGTTTTATTGGCTATTCTTTAATACTTATTTTTGTAGTCAAGAGTATTTTTTCTATTACTCATTATTACTGGATGAATTACACTTATGACCGGCTTGAACAAGACTTAAAAAAAGATCTTTTTCGACAGTTTATTCGAGCCAAGTACGCTAATTCAGTTGAAGTTTCGCGCAATTTAATCACTCAGTTTGCCAGCGATCTGGACGAAATTTCTTATAGTATTTGGTTTATTCCTAACCGCTTAATTTATGTGGCAACGATGATCTCTTGTTATGTTATTTATGATTTCAATTTTGGCAATGAAGGGAAAATTAACTGGGTCTTCTTAGCCATTGCCTTGTCATTGTTTATAGTTTTAATTATTAGCGAAGTAATTTTATTTAAAAAGGCTAGCAAATTAAATGTGGCCGCTAAAAAAAGGCAAGAAGAAGATAATAAAGTGATTTATGAACGAATTAACAATTTAGAGTACATTAAAGCTGTTTCAGGGGAAAAATACGAAGAAAAAAAAGTTGATCAACAACTTGACTCTACTTTCCAAAAAAATAAAAAAGCGTTGTGGTATAGCACAATGTTTAAAACCATTCCTAATTATCTAGTGGTCCCTAACATTCCTATTTTTTTTCTGGCTTCGGCCTTAACCTTGGCTGATGAAACCAGCAAAAAGGGCGGTGCGTTCGCAGTTGGAAATTTTTCACTTTACTTTATTTCTGTCAAAAATTTAAACAGTGAAGTGGGGAAAATAGTTGACGCTTTATTAACGGTAGACGAGCTATCGAGTAGTTTAGAAGTTGTTAACGAAGCGGTTCAAGCCCTCCACCGTCCAACTACTCCTTTGCCAAGGCCAGTCATCGCACCCAAGAAAAGTCAACCTTTTGTCAATGGAGATATAATTTTTCAGAAGGTAGTATTTGCTTATCCTAAACGACCGCAACAAAGTATTTTACGAAACTTTACTTTCACTTTTCAACAAGGAAAAATTTACGGCATTGCTGGAAAAAACGGCATTGGCAAAAGCACGATTACTAAAACTACCCTTAAACTCTATGATTTAAAAGAAGGACAGATCTTTATTGGGGAACGTAATATTCAAGAAATAGACACTATTGACCTCCACCAACACATTTGCTATCAAACTAATCGTCCGACTTTTTTCCGCATGAGTATTGCCGAGAATGTTTGCTATCCTGACAAATATAATCGAAAAGACTATGACAAATTAGTAGAGGCTGCCAAAAAAACTGGCATTTATGAGTTCATTACTAAACTGCCGCAGGGTTTTGACACTGTATTAAGAGAAGGGGGCGCCGACCTCTCCGAAGGACAAAAGCAACAAATCTCAGCCATGAAAATGTTTATCAATGACTATGACATTTACATTTTGGATGAAATATTAAGCAACGTTCATCCTGATTTGAAAGAAATTATTTTAGGAAACATTTTCACTAAATTAAAAGGAAAAACAGTCTTGGTAATCGACCATCACTATGAAATATTTAAATATGTTGATTACATTTATCAATTCACGGGTGAAAAATTAATTCGCATGAATAAGAAGGAATTTCTAACCGAATAAGTTAGAGAAATTACAACTCTTGAAAACAAAAAAATGTAAAATAAGCACCACTGCCCTTTATATCAAAGATAGTGATTTAAGTAACTTGGTAAAGTTTAGACCAGTTTAAATTAAAATTCATTAAAATGATTAAGAGTTTCAAAGACAAATATACTCAAATGCTTTTTGAAAGAAAAAGAGTATTAAAGTGAAAACATATTGAGCAAATTGCTTGCCGAAAACTAAAAGACCTTGACAAAGCCACTAGTTTAAAGAATTAGCCCAAGAAATCAATGTCCCCGCTAAAATAATAAGGGAGATTTGTTAGGAAAAAAGAGACTTAACGCCGGAAATAATTTGCCGACAAGCCATTTACTTCAAAATGTCTTGTGAGTTTTGGTTGGGTATGCAGTAAGATTAAGAAAGAGAATGTTTAGAAGATATATCTTAGAAAACCAAGAAAAACAGATTAAAAAGCAAACAAGCCCTTTACCTACTTCCCAATTAAAAGCCAATGGTCGTTCTAGAAAACATGCTTAGTTCATATGCCCTGTAATAATTGTCAAAAGATAATTTCTCAGTTTGAAAAAAATAAATATTAAAATAAATAATATTATGTCAGTTAATGCAAAAAAATTACTTGCTAATCAAATTAAGGAGGATTTACAAAAAGATTTAGAGAAAGTCAAAAAAGAAGGATGGAGTTCAGGTTCATTAACCTACATTAATAGGTCGTGAGGTGGATGCGGTATTCCTTGTGGAGAGGAGGGTTATATTGTTTTAGTTTCTCCCGATAAAAATAAAGGTAAACGTGATTTGATTGCTCCTAGCGAATTGGAAAAGGAAGATTATGACCAAATAGTAAGTTTAATTGAAGAAATTCGCACGACGGGGGAAAAGGTTTCCGAACAAAAAGAACAGGAAGAAAATGCCAGAATAGACCAAAAATTAAGCAGCAATCCCAAAATGTTTTTTTATGAGGGAATACAAGAATGAAAGGATTATGATGACATTCGTCACGTTTTTCTAGGAATGGAAAACGGCCAAAGATTTTATTTAGTTTTTTCCGAAAATCACCCGGTGACAGCGAACCTTCCTAAACAAAACGACTATCTACAACGAAGGAAATTTTACCTAGTTGAAGGAACTAAAAATATTTCTTTTCAACCGGAGAAAAATAGATTATGACCTTGAAAAGAAGCAAATTTATCTGACAAAATTACTATTGCCGAATATAAGGACAACCAGGAAAATCCTGAAAAAGACCAACCAACAGAAAATAAAACTAATACTTCTAATAAAGGAATTTATATTGGGTTAACCACGGCAACTGTGGCTATAGTTGGAGGAATAATTGCCTGCTTTTTATTTAGAAAAGGAAAAGCAAAAAAATAACCAATTATGAGTAGGGAAGCGATTATTATTAAAAACAATAGTAATAGCAAAATCTGAGAGATTTTTATAGTTTTATTGAAGATTGGCATACCAATAATTTATCAAGAATATAAAGATGATAAAGAAAAAAAACAACTCGTCCAAAATTTAGAAGATGCCAAGAAAATTATTAATGATGCTTGTAGTAAACTTGGGATAACTAACTTAACTGAACTTCCAAATTTACCAAATAGCAAATCTTTTATCGATTTAATTAAATTCTATCAAGAGACTCCCTCTGATTGAAAAGAACAATTAAAAAAATCCCAGCGAGCCAAGAAAAAAGAAGAAATTAAAAACTGCTTTCTGATAGCAAAACTACAACAAATAGAAGAAAAATTAATCAAGGAGAAAATTAGGAGAATTAGAGTTGAAAATAGATTAACTGAATTTGAAAAACAAAAAGAAAATTACTTTAATGAACTTTCCTGAAAAAGATTTGGAGAAGATATGTTAATTGAATACCGAATGGAAAAATGAGTTAACGAACAAATGGAAGATAAAAAAAACCAAGAATTATTAGATAGTATAGATTATAAACTTTGAGAAGAGTATTAAAATGAAGAAAAAAATCCAATAAAAACATTAATTTCCTTTCACCATTAACATGACAATTAAAACGACTACTAGGAGAGTAATCGAGCAAATAATGGCATAGAAAATGTAAAGCAGAAGATTATTATTACATCCACCTTGATTTATTTTGAATATATTTTGACCTTTCATAAATGCTTTTCTTAATTTAATTATACTAACGAATTAATTTTTTAGGCATCGAATAATTACTTAGTATTTTTTGGATAATCGCCTTTTTCATTTCGAGGGTATAATCTTCACCATTATGCACTAATTCCATTAACATGTCCAGGACTTGGAGAGAATGAGGAGTTATTTTAAATTCCTCAAAAATTATTCCTTCGCCAGTGCTCCATAAGAGATAAACATTTTTACCAGTACATAAGTATTGAATAAGCAATTGAACTTCAAAAATGAGTAAGGCCAGGGGACTCTTATTGGCCTTAATATTGCTAGTTTTTAACTCAATAATATAGTCGCGAAATTCTAAATCAACATAAGTAGCCAGTAATTCCTCTTTGTAAAAAACATGGTGGAGCGTTTCACTTCCCAGGAAATGACCAAGTTTTAAGGATTTATTCTTTTTTAAAAAATTAATTGTTTCATGAACTCGCTTATCTAAATTATTTAATTTAGTAATTTCTTCTAAATCAACAAACAGGGGATGATTACCACTTTGGACAAATTCCTGAATAATGTCGTGAAAATTCTTTCCTCGTTCAGCGGCTTTGAGAAGGATATATTCTGGTATCTCTTCATATTCTATTTCTCGTAAAATTCTCGTGAGAGTACTAGCACTCAAAGCCTTTTTGCCACCATGATAAGGCCATCGTCTACCGGTTTTTTCTATAACCAAAAATTCAACTTCTGGTCGTGGTTCGCCAGGGATAAATTTATTATCAACCCCCTTTGGGATTTTAGTGATTTCTTTATCATTAAGACTTGTTTCTTTATTCATAATAATCTAAAAAAGTGAGGAATTAAAAAGTATATAAGTTATTTTACTGAACTAGATTCACTTCCCTGTTTTCATCTATACTCCAAGATTGATGGTGTGTTTATTGGTTTTTTTGCTTTTGTTGGCGGTATTATTATTCATAAAAGAAAAAAACATTCCTTTAATTTGTGAGAGATAAGTCCAACTATTTGCTAATCTTTTCCAGAGAAAAAGAAAAGTTTTCTCAAAATGTCTTGATAAAATCGTAATAATTATTTTCTCCTTGGCTAATTTTATCTAATTCAGTTTCCAAGGCGGCAGTATAACCTTCATTTATTAGAGTGGAAAAGTTTTCCTGTAATCAATTATTAACTGATGCCCCTAAGGGAGTAGGAATAAATTGCCCCTTTTCATTTAATTCAGCATAGCCTCTTTTTAACAATACCCGACCAAATAAATTGTAAGTAGAAGGGCGACCAATACCTAACCTCTCTAATTCTTGGACCAAACTTCCTTCATTATAGCGTACTGGTTTATTTTCTTGGTATTCTTGGACTTCAATTTTTTTGGCTTCTAGTTGAGAAATTATTTCTAATTCACTCTTTAATTTAACATTATAATTAGGAAAATAAACTTCGGGAAAAGCAGCCAAAAACCCATCAAACTGACAAACCCTTTCAGTAGTAGCAAAATAATAATTATTATTGAGAAAATTATAAGTAATCTTGTTAACTTGAGCAGGACTCATTAAACTCGCCAAAGTATGGTTGTATATTAATTTGTATAAATTATATTCTTCCGCTGACAAAGAATCTTTAATTTCTTCTGGATTATAATCCAAATAAGTGGGGTGAATGGATTCATGAGCACCCTGAACGTTAAGAGTTTTTTCCTTTTTTTTCCAGGCTGGATTAGTATTAGAATAATTAGGACCTCACCTTTCTCGGATATGTTTGTAGGCTTGGCTCATAAAGTCTTGATTAATACGCGGAGAGTCAGTTCGTGGATAAGTAATTAATCCAACTTGTTTTCTTTTAGTGCTTATTCACACTCCTTCATATAATTTTTGGGCTAACTGGGTGGTTTGGGCTACGGAAAACCCTAATTGGGATTTAGCCTCAAATAATAACAAAGAAGTAATAAGGGGAGGTTTTGGTAAAATAAATTTTTTTTCTTCTTTTTTGCCAATTAATTGGAAAATTAAACCCAGTTTTTTTTTAATTTCTTCGGCCTCGGTTTTTTCTTTATAAATAATTAAATCACCTGCTTCATTGACTTGTTTAAGAGTTATTTTTTGCTCGTTAACCTGACAAATGCCACAAATGATATAAAGTTTTTTCTTTTCAAATTTTTTTATTAGTTCTTCCCGCTCAATAATTAGTTTCAAAACTACTGACTGAACTCGACCAGCCGATAAAGCCTGTAGTTTTTTTTGTAATATTGTGCTGAGGCAAAAACCAATCATGCGGTCTAGCACTTGCCGGGAAAGTTGGGATTCCACTACATTTTGGTTAATAGTCAAAGGATTATTCAAAGCCTCTTTAATACTCCGCGGTGTTATCTCATAAAAGAGTAAACGTTGGCATTTTAAGGGGTCTACCCCTAATGATTTAGCAGTTTCTTGGGCGATTGCTTCGCCCTCGCGGTCGGGGTCGGTTGCCAGATAAATTACCGAAATTTTCTCTTTTGTCAAATAGTTCCTTCAGGCACTAATCAAACTTTTTTTTTCGGAAATTATGTCATAGGAAGGAGTAAAATTTTTCAAATCTACTCCTAAATTATATACTCCACTTTTCCTTAATTCTCATAAGTGTCCGCCAGTAGCAAATATTACGTACTCTTCGCCCAAAAAGGACTGAATGGTCTTTTTTTTGGTAGCAGATTCCAAAAATATTAAGCCTTTTTTCATTACCCTTCTATAATTTTTTTTACAAATCATTGCTGGTTGAAAGCGTTAAAAATTTTTGTAAAAGTAGTTATGACAACAATAGCAAAAAAAAAAAAAAAACAATAATTTGAATAATTAGTGGAATTATTGGAATAATTAGTTTGGTGGCAATTGTTTTTTTATATCAAAAATATTCCGCACCAGAGGACAAAATTAGCCAATCAAACAAAACTCCGCCTGTTCCTGCTCCTGACTATCGGGAGGAGCAAGACAATTGCCCTTATAATGAAAAGAGCCTAACCGAAATTGTTGATGATGGAAGTGCTAATTTTATGAGGTGAAGAGCGGACGAATGGGATTTACAGCAGTGGCGAAAGATCCCTCGTGATTACATAGTTAAATTATGAAAAAAAGGTTATCATTGGCATGATATTATTCAATTGTGGGACTGAAAGATTTCCGAGAAAGAAATCCCCAACCTAACTCTCCAAGAAAGAATTGGAGTGATAAATGGACTAATGTTTATGCCCGACCCTCAGAAAATTAGTGAAAAAGGTGGTTGGCTTTGGGTGGGAAGAATTAAAGATTTAGTAGTTATTGTGCGAAGAAATCAGAATCCTAAGATTAATATAGACAGAAGATTTGGATTTTGCAGCGAGGACGAAAGAAGCGACCGAGGTCAAGTTAGAAAAATAGTTAATTTTGCTTTACAGCAGGAAAACATTGATAGTCGGCAGTGCAAAGTGTCAATTTTATGAACAATTGGAGCTCAAAGATTTCGCAAGGAAGGGGACGTGAATTTTGGAAATAGTTCAGGAGGTTCAGGCGGAAGCGCGGTTTACTTGGCTTTATTAAGTGCTCTTTATAAAAAACCTATTTCTAGCCAGGTCGCGGCTACTGGCACATTAATAATGTCGGAGCAGAAAGGAATGATTAATGGTCAAGAAATTATTTTAGCACCAGGAACTAATTTGCCGATTGCTGGTCTTAAAGAAAAAGTTGTTGCTTGCGTTGAAAAAGGAATTGATAGGGTAGTGCTTTCCAAATATCAGTCCCCACCTAATCTTTTAGTCAAAAAGGACGAATATAATCCTTCAAAGGAGTTAACATTTGAGAATTATCAAGCCGTAGTTCCACCCGAAATTAAGGATAAAATAACTGCTCATTGAACTGAAGGTGTGAAAGAATTACGGGAATTACTTTTTGAAGGAAAATTATCTTAACTAAAAAAACTCATTTATGAATAAATTAACTATTTTTGATACTCATTGTCATTTAGCCGACAAAGAATACAGCCAACAGAGCCAAAGCATAAAAGAAATTATTCAGCAAGCCGAAAAAGTAGGTGTAAAACATATTTTGAATGTGGGCTATGATAAGGAGAGTAATCAAAGAGTAATCGAACAATTAGAGCAATTTCCTAACTTATATGGTGCCCTGGGTCTACACCCAAACAGCAATGAAGACTTGTCGGAAGAAAACTTACAATGAATAGAAAAGCAATTAATTAACAAAAGAATTATTGCCATTGGAGAAATTGGTTTGGATTATTACCGCACTTTTACAGAAATTGAAAAACAAAAATATTGATTTAAAAAACAATTAGAGTTAGCCAAAAAATACAATTTGCCAGTTTTATTGCATATTCGGGAGGCCTTCGATGATGCTTATGAAATTGTGAAAAAAGTAGGAAATATCAAAGGCATTTTACATTGTTTTACTGGAACTTGAGAAACAGCCCAAAAGTTCATTGATTTAGGCTTTTATATTTCTTTTGCCGGAAACATTACTTATAAAAATGCTAAATGACAGAAAAGGTGAAGAGAAGTGATAGAAAAAGTGCCTTTAGAAAGGATAGTTATCGAAACTGATGCCCCTTATTTATCGCCCGAACCATTACGCGGAAAAATTAATTATCCACAAAATATAATTTACGCCTTGAAAAAAATTGCTGAAATTAAAAAAGTGAATATAGAGGAGGCGGGAGAAACAATTTATTTTAACACTTTAAAATTATTCGAGATAAATAACTAGTTTCCAGACTTATCTCGCAAAAATTTTTGGCAACGATATATAACTTTACACCAATTAGCCAAAAACAACTATTATATGAAGTTTAAAGTTTGTGGCAGATGCAATCGAAAAGTAATCCTTGACCAAGAAAATTATCATTATAAATGAAGTGATAAACATTATTATCATGATGGTTGTTATCAACAAGCCATAGAGGCAGAAAGAAATCAAAGACTTTTAAGTGGTTTGGCAAGAGGAGTGTTTTACGGAGCAATCATTTTTTTGTTTTGTTGCTCAATCAGCAAAATAATAAGAAGAAAAGAGAAATGAATGCAAGTGTAAAATTGTATATCATTCCTAAATTTTTTATGAAAGCATCTGAAAAACCCAAATTGCCGACCACAAGGAATAAAAAGATACAAAATCACGGCTCAAATTGAAATCTCTGGGGATTTTATTTTTTAATTTCTTTACCACCCGCCTTAATCTTGACTGTTATCTTTTATTTATCAGGTATTAAAACTCTTTTTTGGTCTGAACGAGGAACCTCCCGCCACCCCTGATTTAGGGGATATATTGCGGTTTTTTTCCTTCTCTGGATTTTCATAGCATTTACTATTATAATTCTTCACATTCTCTTTTTTTTATTAAAAATTCTTCTTCAAAAAAAGAGTAGGAACCAACAAAAAAAAGCCGGCAAATACATGTTAATTTTTCTCAGCAATCAATTATTACTTAATCTTTTCCTTTTCTTTTTATGAAAACAAAAAAGTAAAAGCACCATTATAATGATAATGTTAATTTCCCTTTTGTTGATAATTATTAATAGTTTTTTTGTCCATTATTTTTTCAGCAAACCGATAATGAAACTACTTATCAAAAAATACCCTCATTATTTTCCCAAAGTTTTTCACCAAGAAACAAAGTTAATGATGAAAGTAGACAGCATGGAATTTAAAAAAACTCAAACCACCGAATGAGCAATAATAATTACCCTTATTTTGGTTAATTTTTGAATACTTTTGCAATTGTTTTATTTGAAAATAACTTAACAAAAAATAAATGTCTTACTGGCTCATTTTCCTAAATTCCTCTAACTAAAAGTATCCAGTGGTGAAAATTAACTTGATAATTCCTAAAAATCCCCACCTTACTTATCTTTATCTCTTCCAGAACAAACTTATTTTTTTACTAATCAGAACTTTTTTTAATCCTTAATTTTCCTTTTTGTCTATATGCTAAATAACATATGACAGAAGTAATATTTAAGAAGGTTCAAACTGTTAGCACCACAAGTCCGACAGTTGAGGTTCTTACCCACCAAAAAACAGAACGGGTAAAAATCCAAATCCAAGCACTCCCTAATGAAATGCAGAGCATTGTTGGAGACCAAAAAAGAATCCGTAAAAAATGCCTGGGCTGCTGTGATAATTTTACCTGTTATAAATCTAAAAACTATGATTACTGCTCTAAATGTGAACTAAATGGCAGTCGCTATGCTAACAAAGATAGTCCTTGTTCGGAATGTGATGGCTCAGGTCTAGTTAAGTTTAAAGGACAATCCCCGCGAAGTTGTAAACTCTGCTATTTAGCCCGACAAGAAACGAAGTTGTCGTTAGACCAAAAGAGGTGGGATAAATTTTTTGCCAATCATGCCTAAACTCCATGAACTAACTGGGCAAATCACTAGCAAAGAACTCCGCAAAGTCTACGACAAGAAATCTCCTTATCACGGCAATACCCATTATAAATGTCAAGCCCTCATTGAAAATAAGAAAAAAGAAGAAAGTTTATTTGTTTACCCTAATTTAGTAAGTCCGGAAATATTCCAAACAGTAGAAAATAGCCACTACATCGACCAGAGATACCTCTTTTTTTGTGCCAAAAAAGCCAAAGGGTGGGTGTTGCATAAATGAGAAACATTGCCAAGTCAGCCAGGGGAATTAAGCAAGACAAAGAGTTAAGCCATGAACAAGCCCCTTAACACTACCGAAAAAAAACTCAAATTCCATTGTTCTACTTGTCAAACTACTTGACAATTATTAATCATTAGAACTGATTGCTTAACCAATCCCAACACCAAATGCTTAAATAACTGTTCCCAAAAATGAGAAAGATTACTAATTGCTTACTGTCAAGAAAGACAAATAATTTACTTTGCTAGTCAAGAACAAGCCAAGGATGAAAAAAAAGAAAAAGACTTAGCCAACTGATTAACTGAAATAAAAAAACAAAACAATTCCAAATAAATATGCCAAAATCCAAGAAATTAGAAAAGCAAATTGAAAATAAATTAGAAAAGTTAGACCAATTAATCAACAAAATAAACGAAGCCAAAGCCATTAACTCCGATGACCCTGAAACCTGAGATGCTGACACCCTTTATGGCTTAGTAGAAAACTTAAAAGAAACTCTCCAATTATTAGAAGACCAAAAGGGCAAGCAATTGGATGATTTTGGGGAACCAATAATTTTAGAAGAAGGACTGTGCTCTTTGGTGGATAGTTATCACTCCAAAGAAGATATTTAAACTTATGCTAGCCTGAACTATTTTAATTACCGAAAACATTTTTTTAGCCCTTTTCTTACTTATCTGACTAAACCGACACTGTGCCAATTGCCACCAAGTCAAATGTATTGAACGAGTATTCAATAAACTTTGTCAGAAATGCCAGAATGACCAAGAAAAGAAAAAAGCCACTTCTTCGCGAAAAAAGTCTACTTCCATTTTATAAATCATGAACTGAACTACTTATTGAACTAACAAAAGAGCCAATCAGCCGCAAATGAGTATTATGACTAACCATAATATTAGCCAATATACTGAATATTTACAGGATAAGAATTTATCCGCCAATACCATTAGACTTTATTTAAATGTGCTAGATAAATTCCCCCAAGAATTTAGCACCCAAAATCTCCAACAATACTTCCGCACTAGTTTAACCAAGTATGAAGCCACTAGTTTAAAAGTTCAGCAATATGCTCTGAACTCTTACATTAAGTTTAAGAAATTGCAAGTAGAGTGAGAAAGAATTGTGCGGATAATCCCCAAAACCCAACGCAAATTCTTTGACACCATTAGTGAAGAAGAATTAGCCCAATTAAAAGATATCAAAGTAGAGAAAAATCCCAAAATACACCAAAGAAATAGCCTTATTTTGGACTTTCTTTTTTACTCAGGAGTTAGAATTAATGAACTAGTAAATATCAAACACCAGGACTGACAAGTTAATCAATTAAGAGTTCACGGTAAAGGCAATAAGGTCAGATTTGTTTTACTCCCCGACTTCTTAATTACTCATTTTGATTCTACTTCTCCTGATTACTTATTTACCAACCAAAGAGGCAACCAAATCAAAGCCGAGTATATTAGATGACTACTAAAAGCAAGAGCCAAAAAAGCCAATATTCAGAAAAATATTACTCCCCACACCTTCCGTCGCTCCTTCGCTACTTGGCTTTATCGCAACAAAGCCCAATTACTTACTATCCAACAGTTATTAGGCCATTCTAGCGTCCAAACTACCGAAAAGTATATCCAGTATGATTGAGCTACTGTTTATGCTGATTATAGTAAATTGTGGAAAACCTCCGAATTAACCCAATTTTAAACTATCATGAATAACTATAACCATTTACTTATTGGCTTTTTTGAAAATAGCGAACTTCTTCAAGAATTAGCTCGGCGAATAAAAGATAAAAGAATTAGGTTTACTCAGAGACTAGAAGGTCAATGTATTGGAGGCTTGTTGTCCTGAGGTGAATCTGATAAATATTGGCTAGATTTAACCGGATTAGATAGAGAACTTGGGCAATATTGGAAAACTCATTGACACACTTTGAAAACTGAGCCAAAAGAAAACCAAGAAAAAGCCATCTTCAACTGCCAAGAGTGTAATGCTCCGATAAAGTTATCTCCTGTTGATGAAAAAGGTCAGCAAGTTTTAGAATTCTACGGTAAATGAACTGGTCAAGGACACAACCTAGTTTGCCAAAAGTGTCTTGAAAAGAAAGAAACCAAATAATTATGAAACCTCCTAAATGTTCCACTTGCCGAAATCGAACTGAACTAGTCATTTGCTATTGTCAAGAACCCCAAAAAGTCTATTTTTGCTGAACTTGCCACAGGCACTACCCTAACTAATATGAACGA